GTGGTTCATGGGGACATATTTCTGCCTGAAGATGGCCGGTGAGTGGGAAAAGGGAAGCTCTACCCTTCCCGGCGCTGGGAGGTCAGCCCAGCCCCATCACCTTGCAGCTGCAAGGGGAGTTAACGGGGATGGGTGCTGGTGCCTGCCGCAGGGTGCTTCTCCGGGGGATGGGCGCTGGTACCCGCTGCAGGGTGCTGCAGGCGGGGCTTCTCCAGAGCAGAAATGCCCCCAGTGTCATGCCAAAATGACAAACCTGCTGCCCGGAAGCAAGGATGAGAGGCAGAGGCAAAGTGGCCTCCTTGGAGCAACGGGAGTGAGCACATCCACCACTCCGCTCCCCAGGGAAGGCTCCGGACCGGGCAGAAAGCCTGAAGTGCTCCAGGACAGAGCGGAAGGCTGCTCTGTGTCCCGTGCGGGACTGCGCAGGACCCAGTACGTCTTGGTGTTGGCCCGGCAGACCCTAGCAGGGACTCAGGAGAAGGTGCTGAGGGAGCCAGCAGAGCTGCTCCCAGCCAGCAGCCCAGGTCACCGTGACCAGCATTCACTGGGATGGAGGATGCCGCCTACCTTGTCCCCTGAAATTGCCCTTTTTTGACACCAAGCTCCAGGCTACCTGAGCTGCAATATGCCAACCGAGGGCTCCCAGAAGAGTTTTGCAGAGGTGGGCTAACTCAGGAGAAGGTGATCCCTGGAAGGGCTGCGCAACGATGCTCTCCTGTGTGCGCCCCGGGGCTGCAGCGCTTCTGAAAGCGAAGGCAGGAAGCCGTCTCCCTGCGGGGATGGCATCTCCATAGAGCCCGACCACAACACACCGCGGCCCTTCTCGAGGAGGCGGCTGGGGAGGACATGGCTCGGGGCAGGGACCGAGCTCTGCCGAGGCACCTCCTCCAGCCTCCCAAGCTACGTCAGCAGGCAGATGAGCACCAGGAAGAGGAAGAACACAGGGTGTTCACCACCCGAGAGAGACAGCACCTGCCGACGACAACCCGGGCTGGATCTACGGCTTTTCCAGGATGAGAGGAGACCAGGCTTCTGCTATCTGAGCTTCCCAGAAAGGGCACCAGGTCCCAGCTTCGTCATGTGAGGACATTCAGGACATGGAGAGAGCAGCTGTCCCACTGCATCCATCTGAAGATGGCTTCTGTTGAAGCTTAGCAGCACGAAGGAGCTCCAGGCAAGCCGCGTGCCCCAGATTACGGGGTCCCACATCCTGGAACATGCCGAACATCAGTGCAGCAACACATCTTCCCCAGGAGCAGGGCAGAGGCAGACATCCACGTGCACAAGCATTCCCTGCCTCCTGTTGTAGCCCAGGCATGGCAGGATGTCCAGAGCAGCCCATCTCCTCAGTCTTTGCCCCCAGAGGACACTCACTGGCCATTTTCAGCTCTATCCTAGACTACCAGGACCTTCCCAGGAAGAGGTCCTGGTGCCCCTCTCCAGACCACCCTTGGGGAGTTGAAGCACTTACCACGCTCTGGGGGTAGGGGCTCTTCCCCCCGGCTGCAGAGCATCACTTACCCACCCCTCCGCACGCAGCTCCCCCGGCACGGCCCTGGCAGGGACACCCAGGTGTCCTGCGTGCTCCCACAGTGACAGCTGCTCTCGCGGCTCCCAAATGCCGCAGACTCCTGGAGCCGTGC